GCATTGCTTATTTCATTAAATGTTTGCATTTTTTAAGACTTTTTAGTAGGTGTTCAGGTATTAATCTTCCAGTCTTCCAATATTATCAATGTTTAAAAGATTTCCTGTCTTTTAAACATTTTTTAACTCAAAAACGAGGCGGACTGCTGGATCAATGACGCCACGCGCCCAACCACCAGGCTTAGAAAGTTTTCCAGGGGCAAACCATGCATAGGAATTACAATTATCTAATACGTAAAGAATGTAATATCAGCTGGTTTTGTCTTGTTTGATGGGCTAGAAAAATGCTTATCATTAACAAAGTGTTACAGAAAATCATTATGGTTACAAATACTTAGAAAACTGGTCAATATCTCTACATTTTCCAGGGAGCACCGTTAGAGCCGAAGCATCTTAAATAAGTACAGGTTTTTTGATACTCAATATTTAGTAGTTACTTGATTATGTATCAATTTAAAACTCTGTATGGATTATTTGTTTTTTTTAGTGACATCTGGTCTGAATTTCATATCAAACAGGCGTGATTTGAAATTTCTAAACTCTGCAGATGAAGTAGAAATTAAACGTTACACAACGGCAGAAAAATAAAATATTGAATACAGATATTGTTTCAGAGATTGTGGAGTGAATAAAAGAAAAATGTCATGGCAACAGTGTGAGAGAAGTTGATTTGACCAAAAACAAACAAATAAAAAAAGGGAAAGGCTACATGAGGTGTTAAAAATGTAATGTCCAGTTTATAAAAGTGAACTGAAAGTTTGAGCTCTCTTATTCATAATTTAGTATAATTTAACTCCCCCTATTAAAGCCTTTGGGATGAAACTGGTGTAATTTTATACCTGATCCAATCTTAATGAGCCCGTTGTGCTGAATGAAGACGGTGTCACAGGTAAGGTTGCCGTGAATGATAGGTGGGTCACATGAGTGGAGATAACTGTAAACCAAAGAGAGAAGATGAATAAATCCACGATCATTAAGCTGGAAGTAAGTTTAACGAAACGTCTGACACTAAACCGACCTGAGCGCAGACAGGATCTGTGTGCACCATCTCTTCCACGCCTGACGGAGCAAGAAGAAAGAAAGTTATGAGAAGATATTGTAGCTGCTTTTCAAGATGGGCTAAATAAACAGAGATTACACTCAAAATACAAAAATATATGCAATCAGTGCAATGCAGAATCATTCAGTTCAGTTTTGTTTATATTGCTCCAAGCCGCAACAAATTTTTCCTGTACCTTCTCATTCATACTTTTGTGGTTCTTCCTCGTCTTCTTGAGAAACTGCTTTAAGCTTCCAGATGACATGTACTCGGTGATAAAAATCACCTGCCAGAGAAAAGACATGTAAGGGAAGTGTAAATCTTTAAGAAACTGTTTATCTAGTAGAGAAAAGCAAGTGTGTTAAACGACGCAAGACTCACCCTGGCTCTGGTGTCCTTTGTGTCAGCCCAGTACGTATGAAACTTGACGATATTGGCATGTTCCAAATGAATAAGGTTATCAAATACAGCCTTGACTTTCTCCTAAATCAATTTCAAAAATATAACAAAACATAAGGAAATAACTGAGCATGTGAGAAGTTTACATTTTCTTAATGGTGTCCAAGAAGAAATTAATAATATGCATATTTAGCTGTTTTCTCTGTGACATCAGGCCTTTACCTCCAGTGGTTTGAAGTTCTTCCTCTCTGAAATCATGACTTCATTCCAAACTACTTCCACTCCCTCCTCTGTGTCCATGGCCAAATAAGCAGCGTCTATTCCCGGGACATTACGCTGATTGACCTGCGTTTACAGGGACCAAAAACTAAATATTAGATGAGGATTAAAATACAGCACAGCTGATAATCTGTGGAGGATTAAAAAGAGAGTCTCTAATGAGTAAAAACTGAGAAGAGTGGATTTGCTGAAGGTCTGGTTGCTTTCACATTAATTTGGTGAAGTGTTGACATAAACACAAAGCATTTCATTTGTACATATTAGCTGATTACATTTAAAGGAGAAGAGTTATTTTATTTTAACTCAAATTATGAATTAACCGTTTCCTGACGTCTTTTGAAATGTAACAAGTTTCAAAACATTTCTCCTTTTTTTGCAGGATGAATTTTAAATAGTCCTGCTGTTAGGTCTGTTGACGACTAGAGTGAGGATTTACTGCATCGCTCGTCACTGCAATCATAATAAAAAGCTTAATTTATCATGACAAAGATAAATTAATGATTAAATAAATTTTGTTGCAATTATTACCCTTCCTACATTTTTCACTTTTGGTTCCATAATGGCACCAATAAATAATCAATACATTTGATAAATGCAGTTCCTGTGTGCAGTTGAGTGATTAAAAATCAAACTTTTTTATGTAAAAGGTTTTCTGAAGAAACCTATTTCAACACAGAAATGTTTTTAAAAGCAGTTTTTGTGTTTGTGATGTAGTTTCCTAAGAAAGTTTACAAAGAGGCTTGAAATACTTCCTTTCATTTTTATTGTTATCACAATAATACCACAATATATCGTGATAAAATTTAAAGTCTAACCTACCGACAGTATTTTTCCTAGTGGTATTTAAAAGGAATTTAAAACTAGTTCAGAGAATTAGAGACATGCCGGTCGGCAAATAGTGGCAGGCTTCATGGAAAACTCACTCAAAATACGGGCTGACATTTTCAACAAGAAATAATTACAGGCTGATGTTTACAGTTAGCGATGCTAACACAACCACAAGATGTTAAAAGCAACTTAAAGTGTCAACTTAGTTTGTAACACAAAGTGTTATTCAAATTCAGCTCCTAATATAGACACTTAAGGATCTTTCACAAAAAAAAAACTTGATTACAGCTCCTCTACAGGTAGTACATTAATGATTTAATAATCTAATTTATAGCAGTAAATCTGAGCTTTTCTCCTTTTAAATGTTACATTGGACAGTGGTAAATGCACTGAACAAATATTTTAATTAAAACAAAAATCTGTATCAGCAGTTCACGGCACTACAAAAATTGGTAATAAGTATCTGATTAGTGATATAATATTTATCGGTTCAGGTTTCTCTTTGCACAAAAATAAATAGTAATATTGTAAGTATTGCTGTATATATGCAGTTAGACAACCCCTGATTGACTACAGGGACTTTTAGACGAGTTTTTAATGAAACCCAAACTTTGGCTGAAACGGATGTGTGATGACCTGTGCTGCAAATAATCACCTCTTCTCGACGTTTCTGCCAGCGGCCACAGGGACTCTCCTCCAGGATCTCTGATTCATCTTCGCTCTCATCCTCATCCTCGGTCGCTGAGGAGCCCACGGGTTTCGGAGAAGCCACCGAGGAAGTAGTGGGTGTCTTATCTTGAGCCTGGGTTGAACTCGGGGACAGGTTTCCTGCTGTAAACTCTGACTTCGCGTCTGTACCGGGTTTCTCCTCCGCCTCCGACATGACAGCAAACCTTATTCTAACGTGGCTGCGCTAGATTCCTGAGCCTGGCCGGAAGCAAGTGATGGAGTACCGCTGTGTCTTCTGCGCTCCCCTTGGGTGTTGAGTTAATCATGAATCCAGTTTATTTTAAATGGGCTGGACATCAATGAAAGGCTCGGAGAAGAAAAGCTGTCAACAACATCCAAAAAAGACGAGCTGTTAGAAGGCATGATAACTTTTAAAGGTCCTTTCACTTTTAAAACTAATTTAATTAAATTCTTAAGCGATGAAGACATTTATTAGTATTTGTTACTAATTTTGATTAATCAAAAGAGCAATCAAATTTGTTAGCTTACCTGCATGACACTGTTGGCTAAAAGTTCAGCCACACACTACTCTGCTAACTTTCCCCTGGCTAATAAGCTAGTGAAAGCCGAATAAACTACTTAGTTTTAACCACTATCCACACAAAAATAACTAATTATAATCTTAAAGAGGACACACAAAACCCTCAAATAGCTAAAAACAGGTTCTAGTTACATGTTGACGAAAGCAGAAAAAAATAGAGGTCTGAACAAAAAATGCTAGTTCGTCATAAAAATGTAGCATCTCAAGTCCCTTTCTGTGAGCCGGAGTGGGAGGGGCGGGGCGGGACTTGAGGAGCGCCTGTGTGCGCACAGAAAACGCAGCGCGCCGCTAGAGAACATCACGTACCGAGCTGCGGAACAAGTCACAGCTTTGTTTATCCTCTCCCTGCTCGGCGAAGACATTTAAACAATGTTACATATTGTGTTACTTTCTATGTGCCACGTCTAATGAAAGTCTAAAACGACAGGAACGGACTTGTTTTGGCCATTTTTAGTCTATTTAAACGTGTTTATTTATTTAACAATATGTGAGACTGATAATGGTATAAAATAAAATTGTACAAAATAGTGGAAGACGGTAGAAAACCATCGTACTAAGACATTTTGTACTGCGAGTATGAGTGCGAGATTGAATGTGTAAAATACTGCAACGTTTCAGCAAAAAAAAAAAAAGAAAAAGAAAAAGAGGAACAAATATGTATTTGAGTATCTGAATTTGTATTTCCTGTGGTCTATGGTAAATTAATAATTTACATGATGCATTACATGGGCCGGCAAAAAGAAAGTTACCAACAACAAGTAGAACAATAATAAATAAACATACGGTAATGTACATGTGTACAGGACAGATAATCACTTATAATTTAAATGAGTAAAAATACTAATGATAATTATAGAAAGGGCAGCACAGGGATAGACTAATAATAATTTTTTGCGCCAAAGATTTTACGGGTGTGCAGAAATAAAGATGGACTTCCCTCGCCCCCCAAAGGGAATAGTGCATTCACAGTATTTGGTTTCCAAGATTCCTGCGATTTATCTGATATTGTTTGTAAGTCCCCTCATGTATTTTTCAGTATACCCACAGGCCACTGTAATATTCTGACTGACTTAAAAAAGTAAAAAATTAAAGGAAGCGAGATTTACTGTCAGTCAACGTACCGCCATCGATGTCGCGCGTTTAAACGAAAGAGCAAAGTATTGGAGGGGAACTATCTTGCATCATTACAGACGCGCATCCCAGCTGTTTCACGATGCTAAAATTCTGCGCAGGCTGCTCTCCCACGATTTTCACACAGGACAGTGATGCAAACAAGCTCCCTGGATAACAAGGGGATGCTCATGCGGTTGCTTTAGTTATAAAACACACCTGACCTTCTGCGTCCACGATGCGGAGGCTATACGATGCGGCTACCGTAGCCTGCCTGGGCTGTGTGTAGCGGATATTTTACGGATGGTGGTCCCAGGGAGAGGCTGTGAGGCTGGGGAGTCGGGGCATCAGCTGAGCCGATAGAGGAGAGTTAGCAAGCTAGCCTTTGTGATCAGCTCAGTGACATTTTCGTGAAAACACTACCTGGTTCGGCTCAGTCACCATGGCCACGAACGGTAACAGTTCGACGCCTGGGATGGGAGAGATCATCCAGCTAAATGTTGGGGGGACAAGGTAAGTGACGTCCACTTGACACCGAGAGGTGATTGTCATCTTTTCATAAACATTTACTCTTGCGATTATACTTACAACATCTTCATAACTTATGTAATCAAAGCAGATAACATAGATCACGTACTCCATCATTACTGCTTATACAACAATGAGTAATTTACTTTGTACACAATGTACAATTTCTACAAAATGAAACCCAATGCTTTTTTGTAGTCCTATTACTGTTTTATGATAACCAATTCTTAAATGTTTAATTAAATCAAGTATTCACTCATAAGTCATAAAGAGATCCTGCTCGAAATGTGTTGCCATTCATCATTTGCCTGTATCCTTCACAAGGTTCAGCACATCCAGACAGACTCTGACGTGGATCCCTGACTCTTTCTTCTCAAGGTTAGTTCAATGGATTCAGCTCTTTTATTTTTATATATTTATTTTTTATAAACAATGCCTCACAAAAGTAATCACACCACTTGAACTTTTCTAACTTTGTCATGTTATGACCACAAACTTTATTATTTTAAATTAGGTAATGAAGAAACAGAAAGTTGAGCCGAATTATGAAGTGGAAGATATTTTAACTTTGGGCAACAAGAAATCTGAGAAGTGTGGCATGCAATTCCTGTAGCTGTGGCTTTTTCTTTAGTGTTGTTTTCCTGTTGGAAAGTGAACCTCTGAACCTGTTTCAAGACTTTTGCAGTGTAAAAGTTTCATCCCATGTCACAATGTGATTATATGTGAAATATAATAAATATTGCATTTTATGTTTTGTGAAACCAGTGAAAACATCTTTTTAAAAATATTTTTGGTTAAAACTTTTGTCATAGTTGAAGAAATGCTGTCCCACCTGGTGTTAGTGATTTTAAGTCTAGATGAAGGCGACAGTTAAAGAGAGGCAGGATATTGGAGCTGGTAAGATATTTTTGTTGCAAAATTAAACACTGCTCCAAGTACATTCCTACAACAGCTGAGCAGAGCTATAAAAGACAGTCAGAATAACTGGTTTAACACCTGCTGGCCTGTAAGTCAGTTTCTGCTCTCTGCTGTCTTTAGTTCAGTCACTGCAGAATGACTTTTCCTACAAGTTAACACAAAAACATACAGTAAGGATGATAATCCAGACTTCAGAGTTACTGCATTGGTTTTCTTGGTGTAGAAATAAATTGATTATAGTAATTGAGTTACTGGTTAGTGGAAATGGAGAACTGATTGGATAACATTTGTCTCTATTCCTTTCAGTTTACTGAGTGGGAGGATTTCCACTCTGCGGGATGAAACTGGAGCTGTGAGTTGAGGTCTCCTACTACCACAGTTAAAATGGTTTCTGATTGTGCAGTTTTCAAAAATAATTAATTGTACGTCTTTTAATAAGTTATCATTGCATCACTTTCAGATATTTATTGACAGAGACCCCACAGCCTTTGCACCAATTCTCAACTTTCTTCGAACCAAAGAACTGGACTTGCGGTACAAAAATGCTCGACTACTACTGAATTTTTAGGAGGGTGTATCTTTGTGATATGACTTGTTCGAAAAACATTTTCTGTGTCCTGTTTTTTTTCTTTTTAGGGGCGTCAACATCAGCGTCCTGCGCCACGAAGCAGAGTTTTATGGGATCACTCCTTTAGGTATGGTTGTGATCAGTTTGGGGTGGAAACTTTGAAAGCAACGGTGCTGATGGGATGTACTGGGTTATATACAGTTCTTTGAAGAAGTATTCATAGCCTTTGAGGATTTTAACACAAACTTAAGTGAATTTTATTGGAATTTTATGTCATAGACCCACAGAAAGTGGCCCATTACTGTGCATAAATCTGAAAAGTGTGGCATGCATTAATCTTTACCATGTATGCAAAATCTAGTACAACCTCAAAAGACACCTGACTGGTAAATAGAGTCCAGCTGTGTATAGAAAAAGATAAAAAAAAAAAAAAACATCCATCATTTTCGTTTTATTTTGAATTGATTTATTTTACAAAATCCCAATTCAATCCCCAGAACTGATGTTTTTAACTATGAAGTGACAAAATTGGAAACAGTTCAAGGGATATGAATACCAGGTAAAATGTTGTATAACCAGGTTATATTTACATACAGCTCTGGAAAAAAAATTAAGAGACCACTTATCAGTTTCTCTGATTTTACTATTTCTAGGTTTATGTTTGAGTAAAATGAACATTATTCTTTTATTCTATGAACTATGACAACATGTCTCTGAAAATCCAAGTAAAAATTTAGTATTTAATTGCATAAAGATAACAACAAGGTGCAGAGCTTTCAAACCTCAAATAATGCAAAGAAAACAAATTTACATTCATTTAGAAACAACAATACTAATGTTTTAATTCAGGAATAGTTCAGAAATCAATGTTTGGTGGAAAAACCATCAGGTTTTCAATGGGGCTCAGTGCAGTGGACTCTGAATTATTTATAGAGATGTACATCTGTGTTTCTTTTTTTTTGGTACATTTGAATCCAACATGACAGACATTTTATTCTAAAATAAATGTCTTCATGTGTCAGATTATTAACTAAGGTCAAACGCAGGACAAAGTTACTTCCACATACATGCTGTTTTACATCCTTGTTTCACTGTTTTAAACTTCCCCACATTAACAAGAAGAAATAAACAGGCCTGGTCTGTCACAAACTCAGTAAAGAAAATGCAAACTGAAGGCACATGAAGCTAAAGAAAATAATTAATTTCTAAGGTGACAGAAACAAAAATAGACAGGTAACTTCATATGAAATGGTTATGTTGATGAGTGTTTGCGTGTGAACCTGTGCAGTGCGACGCCTGCTGCTGTGTGAGGAACTGGACCGCTCATCATGTGGCAGCGTTCTCTTCCATGGCTACCTTCCTCCTCCCGGTAAAAGCCTGAAACTCTCACTGAATGAACTGAAAACAGACGTAGTGTAGGTTGCACCACAGAAATTATCTAGACTCCACCTTGTACTAACATGACAGAACAGTGTAAAGGGAAAAGTAAGTGGATTTTTGTTGTTGTTTTTGTTTCTGGACAGTCGTCCCGGCTCGGAAGTCGGCGCCTGCAGCTTCTGATGAGCGACCAGGTCCGAGTGGAGCGGAGGGCTTCACCCGCGGGGTTCCCCTTCCTCATCCGTCTTTGTCTGGAACAGATGACCCAGAGAAACTGGGTAAAAAGGGAGAGAATACATTTAAATATTTGTTTTAGCTGACAACATTAGAAGCAAATAAGAACATTTCAGGTGGTGGACTAAATTGTGTTAGACTGGATTTGTGTCTGACCTTTAAAAACTCGATCTAAAATCCATACTTGGCCTTTCAGTTTGTCCGTGTGTGTGTGTGTGTGTGTGTGTGTGCTAAATGCATGCATAACAGAGTAAATGTACGTTTTTGTTTGTGCCTTCTTGCAAGAGTGCATTAGTGCGCCTGCTAATGTGTCCTAAAATCTTTTTAGTGCTCAGACTAGCAGCACTCACTGAAGTGGCCTAGTTTCATGTTGACCTGCTGACTAGTTTGTTCCTGCTTCCTGAAAAATCTTTTTCATTCAAGCATTCATTAAGAAACATCAGTTCACTTCTACCAGCAGTGAAAATGGGAATTTATTTACTCTGTCTGTGTTTGCAGATTCAATGGTTGACCCCAGGAAAGTGCTGATTATAGCAGGACACCACAACTGGATCGTTGCAGCTTATGCACACTTTGTCATCTGCTACAGGTAACCGTTTTATTATTTCTCATCAAGAAAGTGTGAAGATTTTCTGTGATTGTTTTTGTAGCTCTGACTCCAGCAGCTGTATATGCCTTCTAAATCTCACTCAAAGCCTTTAATGGGCTTGCTTTGTGCCACACTTTTTCCTTTCGCTACGTTTTCCGTTAACAATAGTCCCTGCTAGTTCTCTTAGCCATGATTTCTTTGTTTCTTAACTCTCTTGTGCAGCATTTCAATATCCTCTGTTCGATAACTGTCAACAGTTTTCTCCTGGCTAACAGAAGACCTTTGTAATTATCTTTAGTAATATTAAAATTTTGGGCTTTTCATTTATCACATCCTTCAAAATAAATTGAAATAAACAACCGTATTATACTGCTATGGGTATGAATGTTTGCATGTGCTTTAATGAAACAAAATTAACTTTTCAGATGCTTCCATACTGCTGACTTAGTTAAGTGTTAAATAAATCAATTTTAATCAAAGACCCACAGACGGAGGTTACAGTATTAGTTGGTGTGTGTGCTCTGGCTGCAGGATAAAGGAATCGTCTGGATGGCAGCAGGTGTTTTCCTCTCCCTACCTGGACTGGACCATAGAACGTATAGCACTTAACGCTAAAGTGGTGGGAGGTCCACATGGAGACAAGGACAAGATGGTGGCCGCCGCCTCTGAAAGCAAGATTATCCTCTGGAGTATTCAAGATGGAGGCAGCGGAAATGAAATTGGTAGGTTTCAAGAATCAAAGGGAACAGCGCTGGTTCGGGTTCTGGTTCTACAAGCGCTGTATTTTAATTCCCGCTTTAGGTGTATTCAGCCTCGGCGTTCCTGTTGATGACCTCTTCTTCATTGGCAACCAGCTGGTGGCAACAAGCCACACAGGAAAGGTTGGCGTGTGGAACGCCGTCACTCAACACTGGCAGGTGGGAATCGTCAGTGAGCGTTTACTGGATGCTGACATTCATCTTTACACATGTTTGTCATATTTATGCACTTCCTCTTATTCTCTTTTATTTACCACTGTAAGTTCACTTTTTGTATTTTGTTAGGTTCAAGATGTAGTTCCCATCACCAGCTGTGACACGGCCGGGTCCTTCCTGCTGCTGGGCTGCACCAACGGCTCCATCTATTATATAGGTGTGAACAGACACACACAGAGCAGCCAGCCTTTTTGGATCTTACTGAAGCTCTGTTACAGGATATGAATCTTATTTATAAAATATTAAAAGATTGTTACTGTTTTTGTCACTAAAAGATTTCTGTTCAGCTGTTTTAGATACATTTTTTTTTAAAATCTGATGGACATTCAAAATGTTTACATGTTGTTCCATAAGATCTCAACGTCCTCTTCTCAGACATGCAGAAGTTTCCTCTGAGGATGAAGGACAATGATCTCTTAGTGACTGAGCTTTATCACGACCCTTCAAACGATGCCATTACTGCACTGTCTGTGTACCTCACCCCTAAAACCAGTAAGTACTGAATAAACACTGAAAGAAAAAGGGTTACATTATATGTATGGGATGGGGACTTTGCTTCTGTTTGGTTTTTTAATCCTACTTGGAAAAGCACTTGTGGTTCCACTGTGGCTCTTAACGACTTGCTTACAAACTGAATAATGTTTTAAAATGTAAATATACTTAATAGCTTCACCAATTTTCCTCAGATGTCTTCAGACAATGTATGCATAACATTTCCACAAAAGAATGACATTTATTGTTTCACCATGATGCAAACTATGTGCTTGTTTTTGGGCATCATTTTATATAAACAAACATGTTCAACTGAAGAAAATATATAAAATTTCAAAACAAAAATGTAATATTTGCTTTGCTAATTAAAAATCTAACATTTCCTATTGTAGGAGTCATTTTGTTTAAAAGAGTTATGTTGAGTTGTGACCCTTAGCTAATTTTATTTGGCTGGCATGAAGGCTTTTAGGGTTGCAGAGGTCGCAGACTCCTGACCGTTATGTTTATGCTGCTCTCAGGCGTGAGCGGGAACTGGATAGAGATCGCCTACGGGACGAGCAGCGGAGCAGTGAGGGTGATCGTGCAGCACCCAGAGACGGTGGGATCGGGCCCTCAGCTGTTTCAGACATTCACTGTGCACAGAAGCCCAGTGACGAAGATAATGTTATCTGAGAAACATCTGGTGTCGGGTAACAAACGTTCCTCTGTTTAGTTTTTACAAAATTCAGATGTTTGAAACCTCACCAGATTGTTGTGTGTGTGTGTGTGTGTGTGTTTTAGTGTGTGCGGACAACAACCACGTTCGGACGTGGACGGTGACACGGTTCCGAGGGATGATCTCCACTCAGCCAGGCTCCACACCTCTGGCTTCCTTTAAGATCCTGTCCCTGGAAGAGACGGAGAGTCATGGCAGCTACTGCTCTGGGAATGACATAGGTGAGACGGGAACATACACAATTAGCTTAAACATATTGTTAGTGATGTTGAATGTACAAAATATAGCAGAGATTAAAAAGTAATTAAAAAGATACATGCAGATGCAAATATTTTGCATTCGAATGAAATGAAAGTTAACCTTGGAGTGTGTAATGATTGGCACAAATGTAGAAACCTCAAAAGGGAACCAACACAGATTTGGACATTTTTTTCTAAAAGTTAAATGTTTAACCTGAATTGTTTGGTTTCCACAGGCCCGTTTGGAGAGAGAGATGATCAACAAGTTTTCATCCAGAAAGTCATCCCCATCACCAACAAACTGTTTGTTAGGCTCTCCTCAACCGGAAAAAGGTACCCTGGCACATGGTCCTCCACACACATGTATCAGTGTTACTGTGGTTAACATGTGCATTTGATTTCTTTTTGTAACGTTCCAGGATCTGTGAAGTGCAGTCGGTGGATGGAACCACCATCACCTGCTTCATGGTTCGGGAGTGCGAGGGCTCCAGCCGGATGGGGTCCCGACCGCGCCGCTATTTGTTCACCGGTCACGGAAACGGCAGCATTCAAATGTGGGACCTCACCACTGCGATGGACACAGCCAACAAAGGAGAAGAGAAGAAGAAAGACGGTGAGGAAGGAGAGACGAGTGGCTGAAGCGTCGCCAAGCTGTGTGTAAGTTTCTATTCACTAACTCCTGTAATGTTGTTTGGCAGAAGTGGGCGGGCCGACAGAGGAGGAGCTGCTTCAGCTGCTGGACCAGTGCGACCTGAGTACCTCCCGCTGTGCCACCCCGAGCATAAGCCCCGCCCCCTCTGTGTTGCACCACACACGCCTCAGAGAGTCTATGTCAAGGTTCGAGAGATGACTGCGTCGTATAACCGTTTGGTAATGTTTCTGCCCATAAAAGATCTCACCTTTCTGTCTCTGCTCAACCTCAGTTTGCAGCTGCAGGCCCAGGAATCTATTCCTGAGAGCCAGGTCACCTACGGAGCCGTGCGGCCCTACAGAGAGAGCCCCCTGCTGGCCCGCGCGCGGCGAACCGAGTCCTTCAACAGCTACAGGTGAAGCAGCATTTTTCAGTCCAGTTAGGAATGGGCATTTATCATATCATTCATCACTTATTGTCATGGTTAAGAAGTTCAGATTAAAGCTGCAGTATGTAACTTTTATCAAAAATGTTTTTTACATATTTGTTAAAACTGTTACAGATAACCTGTGAAAAAACTGAGCTCCTCTCCCAATGCTAACTAGAGCGCAACCAATCAGAACTAGGAGGCGGGTTTTAGTGCTGTCAATCACAATTGTGTGTGGTGCTGCTGATTCCTCTTTCACCCTCTCCATTGCTCTCTGCAGAGAATCCCCTGAATGCTAGGCTAGTTAGATTAGCCACCAATGATAAACGATTTTCCTGTAACAATAAGTTGCTTGAGCAGCAATTATACAAGATTAATTGACGGCGCTAAGACCCTCCTCCTGACTTTGATTGGTTATCTTTGGCCGGAGTGATGCATTTCATCAGACGGAAATAATCTGACAGGAGATGGAGAAGATCGATCTTTTCATATTCTGTCAGGACAAAGTGTCAGGTTTAACAAATATGTAAATAACATATTATTTATAAAAGCTACATGCTTCAGCTTTAATGATGTTTAAAACCCCCCAAAACTGTCCATATTGCCAATCCTTTAAATGCCCGGTATATTTTTTTAGAGACTTCCAGAACTTTAGCCTGAGTCAGACGTCCAACCCCGGACACAGTCAGATCCCAGACGCCCGGCGCTCGCTGTGTAACTTTGGGCCTGAGGACAGTGAGAGGAGCACCTCCGTCATGGAGCTCTGGGCTTCCCGCAACGCCGGATACATCTCAGCGAGTAAACCAGAAGTCAGTCAAGAATCGCCACAGCAACCTCCAGACAGCCCAGTTCCAGGAGCGGACGTGAGGCGAAAGGTGCACACTCAGCCAGAGGAAGGGGATGCTGCTGGGTCGGGAGGAGACGGGGCGAAGGCCGATGGCGCTGTGAGGAAGAGGGGCGTACTGGAAGGGGGCTTTCTGGGGCGGAAGAGGGCTCCTCCAATTCCACATCTCTCCTCGGGATCTGAAGGTGGGGGCAGTGACTCATCTGCAAACGCCTCGCCCTCGCCAACCAAACTGTCGTCCTCCACTTCGCCGCGACACAGGAAGCCGCCAGCCGAGCCGTCCGGTCATGACAGCAGCCTGTGACATCAGTAAGGTTATAGCCTGTCAGCGCTAAATATGTAGGCAAAGGAAGAACACACAATCAGCTGCAGCAAAAGTCGCTTTTTTCTTACCTACAGGTGTGGCTCATGAAGAAGCTGTAAGTCTCCAACACTATCAGTATCTGTGAGGTGTAGTTGAACTTTTTTCCGTCTTGGTACATTTTAAGTCTGTTTTAAGAAGATTTCAGGATTTGATTAGGTCAATCACCGGACGAGTAAAGCTAGTAAAACAGAAATAAGCCCAATACTAGTAACCATGTGTTGGAGTGATGGTTACAAAATCAAATTGCCTAAAATTTTGAAACTTGCTTTTAAAATATTGATCTACATTTGCAAAATAAATGTGAAAAAAATATATAATTCACACAAAAACTTAAATATTTATCCGAAAAATCTTCACCAATCATACAAGAGCTTTGTCCTCCTATCTCTCTGCAATAATAATAATCACAATACTTTTTTCAACAATAGAACTCATAACTTTATTGTGTAGTGGATGTCGGCCCACTACATGTTATGTTACTTACCTAAAACATGTCATCCGGTCCAAAATGTTGGCAGCTACTTGAATCCTAGGATACTTTCTTTACTGCAGCCAGAGTCAGAGGGGTTTACATTAAAACAACTGACAAACTGTGCAGGTCGGGCATGCAATACGAGCTTCGCTGCAAGGCAGCGGTGAGGTGGAGATGCAGACTGGAAACACAGACTGGTATTCAGATGAAGGTAATGGCAAATGATCATATGTGGTGACATTCTGTAGATGTGAAATATGCTTAAATCTAGTCCGTTTTTGTCATTCGTGCAACTTCACTTTGCATAAACATTATAGCCTCCTCCTAAATGGAAAAAATATATTTTAACACGTTAATTAAATGTACAGCAGCTTGCAAAAGTATTTCACATTTTTTCTCCCAGACATATCACAAATATACCCACTGAGTTCATTTAAATAATACTAAACTTGGATTTTTTTGACCTACATGCACTAAGTATGGCAGAAAACTAAGGCTGCTCATAACACGAACCATCATCACTGTGAATCAGTGATGGCAGCGTCATGCTGCGGGCGCTTTTCTTCATTCAGGACAGAGTTGATGGGAAGTTGGTCGGAGCTAATTACAGGAAAACTCTAGAAGAAAATAAGACTTGAGACTGGACTGGACTGGAGGTTTTTCTCCCAGCAGAACATCAACGCTAAACACACAGCCACAGTAAAACGGAAACATTCAGATCAGTGCATTCAGAAATGTTGAAAACTGTGTATACCAATAAAAAATAAATTCATATTTGTTGTAGCGTGACAAATGTGGGAACAAAAACACTTTTGGAAGGTACTGTACATTTTAAAGCAGAGATTTTATGGCATTTAGTCCTTAAAAAACATTCACTCGAAAACTTTTCAGTGCCCATTTCTGAGGAAATGCTTTAGTAGAATAAGTGCTTCTTTTCCCGCTTGAGATTATCCAACCCCCCTCCTCCCAAAATGTGCCTGTGAAAGATCATTTATTAACACTAATAACATTTATTAGTTTTATTTTTTCATACCTTATATTAGATCTAATGAGAGGATTTAGACATACACGCCCTCACTTTGACTCATTTAAGAGAAATGTTGATATGTCGTGTGTCAGATGGCTGTTGTAGTGCCTTATTTAACTTTTGTTGTGTTTCATTGGAGAAATATAGTGACCAAAGGATTGTGAAGAGGGAGAGCACTGTGTAGGAACATAATGGATCTGCCTGATCCGGCTTAGTTAAGGCCAGATCAGAGTAAATTATGGACCACAATGAGAAAAGCGATGCATTAGTGAAGGCTTTAAGTACGTAACTTGATGCATTTCCAGAAGTGTTTGTATGTTTTAGAGGTGAGTTACTTTAGCTACACCTAAAAACATATCGGAGAGTGAAAAAATGAAGCTGCGTAGCTTCGGTCACGACTTGTATAAAGACACGTCGATTTTGATACACTAACATCGCAGTGAACATGCATATTCAAAACAAGTCCTAAAGAGGATGCACTCATTTGTTTTATCGTATATTTATACATCATGTATGCATAAAAGGCCTGTATTGATGTAATCACATATTGGACCTAAATATGTTTTTTTTCTTGCACTATCCAGTCTATTACAGAAAATTGAGTGTTTATTTTAGATTTAAAAATATACAGTTTAATGTGCATTGTAGTGCATAGGTGTTTGTTTGCAGCATGTTTTGTCTGTCGTCCGCCAACTCCTCTCTGGCTATGTTTACATTATATTACAGCCAGACTCTAACGAGCTAAAACTCATGCATATCTGTTTATTTAAGCTTCTTCATATGATGTTGTGTTATGTACTGAATTTAGGAAATGCTGTAAAATGAAGTAAAATATTTACAGCTAAACTTTTCATAAATGAAGTTGACATTGATTCAGAGTTTGTGTAGTTTAGTTACGATGAGTAGAGCGTCATTTTGTCTTTCCAAAACTGATAACTAGGCACGGGCTGGTTAATGTGACCTTTTGCGGTTCCTAAAGATGCACAACAATATCTAATTGTGTTTATTTCAAACAGAAAATCAATACTTATGCCCGCCTATGCAAACAAACACACATTGACTGGTGCAGTTTTAATGTTATTACACATACAAAATAACTTGGTGCAGTTTCATTTCTATTTAATCTATTCATATAGTGGCAATTTGAACTCTATCTCAATGCACCTTACAAGAGAAATACAGGTTAGATAGAGAAATGTATATAATGTTCAGTCATAGAGGTATTTCTAAGTTTTCTGTCCAAGGACAGTTGCCATTTGCATGGTGTTATTGACTTAAAAGCAACCTCGCCTTCAGAGGAAGTATATGATGATAGCGGATGTTTGACTGCATCGATAACTTTGCAGTTATTCCTCACACAGCAGGAAGGAGCGACTCCCTTAAAACAGGAAGAAGAATCCAGAAGCATCCATTCAGCAGCAACTTGAGCTTTCCAACAGAGTAAGTTTTGGGAAATTTAGAGGAAATTGATACTGAAATCCGAACTTTTCAAAAACCTCATCATTAACCTGCCCGTGCCTACCTGAAGTTTGCAACAATCCACTCTTACACTGTATTTTTTTTAATACAACGCATGTCATATGTATTCTGTAACACACTATATGGTATATTAGAAATCCTAACATTTCCAGGTCTTATGTGCTTGACTGTGAAAAAGGAACATTTTGATGAGATTAATCCAAACAAGCTGATGTTGTAATGATGATTCTGATGTATTTAAAGCTGACTTCAGCAATCGGAAAGCCACAGTGAAGAGCAAGAGACGAGTTTGATTGCCTGCTTCCTTTAGACACCGTGCAAAAGCAAAAATGTTTTGTTTTAAGCATCGGAGGTGTGTTTTTTTCCCCCATAGCTCTGATTTCACTAACCTTCCCGTCAGACAGTCTCTTAGATGGCCTCTGTCGTCATTGTGATTTATGAGTTTAATAAAAGCCTCTGTGTGCGTGTGTGTGTGTGTGTGTGTGTGTGTGTGTGTAGCTCAGGGCCATACTGTCCCTTACAATCACTCCACAAACTCTTTTCACAGCCTCCCCCTCCCTCTGTGGCTGACAATAGCTGTGAATGCGGGCCGCGAACGCTTCAGAAGTGCCCTTGTCAGATTGGCGTCCTTGAGCGGGGGGGCAGGGGAGGGGGGTGCTCGGTTGTTACTGCCAGTTTGTTAATTTTAAACTTGCCTAGATGTCCCCTTAAGGGACACGGCAGCAAAAGTAAATTACGGCAGCATAGTTTTGATGGAGACAGTGGCGCTGGTGTGTGTGTGTGTGTGTGTGTGTGCGTGTGTGTGGTGACTAAGGCGTTGTACAGCTGTGGGCATATCTGTGTTGTAGGAACTCAGCAGAAAGTGCAAAAGCATGAATTTTAGGTAAAGCTGCTTCATTAGTGCCGACATGATGGGGGGTTAGAAGCATTTGATAGGTCTGTGAGCACAAAGTTATTCTGTTTATCATCCCTATTGAGATCAACATATGGATTTAAAGAAATTATGTTCAAAGGATTTGGATTTCATGTTGTTTAAATGAACAATGTTAACGTCATCAAATAGAACAAACTTTTACATTCGTCAAGTGATGTTTTCTTTTGCCTTTTATTCTAAATCTTCTTTTATTTTATTTAAACATTGGTCTGGTACATTTGTGCTTCTTTTGTTGACTTGCTGCTTTCAAATACTGACATTTCACTTCACAGTGGAGTAAAGAAAGATTAAACTGTCCTTATCTGGCTCTTAGTCTCTTATTTTAACCAGGCATGGTTCACATAATAATGATGGATTTGTAACAAGCTGTTGTTAGAGCAAACTTTAACTATTTCCTGTTTGGAAAAAACCCAGAAAATTCAGTTTTTGATAATTTTTTTAATTAATCACCAAAAATACACAATCTATGAAGTATCTACAAATTAAAAAAAATATACAGTCATAAATAATACTGCCCGTGTTTAAAAAAAAGGTTGGTCATAACAGCGTATTATATATAAAATCTTTTAAAATCCATTAACATTAAAACGAGTGGTTAAATAAGTGATAAATGCTGTTTCTAGGTCCAATCTGTGGAATCTTGACATAATAATTTTACTTCTATAAAAAGACTAATCAGGATGTTTCCTGTTTTTCTCTTTTTAGCTGAAGCTGCAGGTCTCTACGTCAGAACAGTGAAATAATCTGTAAGCCACAGAACAATAACAGTCAATCACATTAACAACAAGTAAACACATCTGAGTTGACCATCAGCCACTGGTTTTACGTTTAAATTGCAATAAGCAGTAAATACACAAAGACATAAGACAAAATCTCAGTTTGGGCCATTTGGTTACATCACAACAAACAAACACACATATGTACATTTCAGCTACATTTATAACGATAATAAAAAAAAGTTGGCAAATCTCTCTAGCAACAATAACATGAAGGCCGTGTGTCCGTCTAAGTGTTGATTACAGACATGGTAATAGGCACAGTTACCAGGTGAGGAAGTGATCGACATGAACTTCTGGATTGTTTTGATTTTACTCATTTAAACTTTCTAAAAGCTGTTGGCAAGCAGAGAAAGCGAATCATAATCTAACCTAAACATCCACAGACCATCTATGCAGAAAGTTACCAGATATGGAGGCTTTAGTCCATATGCGAGCTCTAAATTTAAACATTGTGTCCTTGACTCTACTGCAGCTAACACAGCTTAGAGTGAGTGTTACCAGCCTGGCATCTTCAGGCCTGTTGTCCTACAGATGGGTGTCGGTGAACAGGCTGTGCTCTTTTTTCACAGAGCTTAAGGCCTTGATGGCGTCCACAAACTCATCATCCTCCACATACTGGAAAAAAAGCACACAAGATCCAAACATTATGATGTCAGCAACATTGAAAAAATACTCACGCACTAGTAACTTGTAATAGTTTGTAATTACAGACATATCTCGTCCATTTTCTGATGTCATTGTAAACCATTGGACTGATCAAATGGCATTTAGAGTTTTAGCCTTCTGGTCGCTGTATTTTGTGTCAGGTTAGAGCTGAAAGGTGTTGCAGAGCATCACTGTGCATTGCTAAGCTATCTGATTATGAAGCAGCATGCTGATTAATAGGTGTGTCGCAGCTTAATTGGCTTTAAAGAACCATGCTGACACCCTCAGTCTTCCTTTCAGAAGCAACATCCAATGTCTACCGGGGCTGTTTCACTTCTTAGCACCTTCTCTGTGGATTTTCATTCTGCAACAGCATTTTATGAGACAGACCAACTCAAAACTTCTGAAAAGGCCCTGAATGTTAAAGGAAGTAAAAATAAGCAAATTGGGAAATGATAATGTATGAAATCAAGCAAAATAAGTCGATTCTGAAACTCCTATCAGAGATGGTCAACAACAAACAAACAAACGCATGTCTGTCCTCACCAGCCCAGAATCATGTCCCAGTGGGTTATCCCAGCAACCCTCCTCCATCAGTGACTTCCTGTCAATCAGCTGACTGACGCTGCGGTGCAGGGAATGCTGGGGGTAGGCTTGAGTCAGGTCAGTTTGACTGGGAGCCCGCAGCACAGACATGGGGCTGTAGCGTGAGCTGCTGCTGACTATCTTTGTGTCTGCCAGACCCTGTGAGGTACAGTTAGTACAAGAGCGACCACATGTTTGAAATCATGTTTTACTTACTGTTAATAATAAAATGACAACCGCAGAAACACTGAATTTGTTGCTTCTTGAAATCAAAATGTGAACATAAACTAAACATGCTTCATCTTTCTGTCCAGACAGAAAAATC